CAAGCGGCTCCTCCGCCGTGTCCTTGAAGGATGCTGTAGAAGTCCGAGCTTGAATCTAAGAATCGTAACATTTTTTTGGTCAGAGACCTTTAAGATCATCGAGTCCAACTGTAGTGAACGGCCGGAGCTTGACGCGGGCAGCGCTCGCCCAACTCCACCCTTACACCTTGGTGTAGCTGCACGGGTGCTGTAGGAGGTGCTCCGCGGTCGCCTCCAGCTCATCCCTGGGTGTCGGGGGGCAGGCGAGAGCTGCTCTGGCGTTGGGGGGTAACGCGGACGTGGGTCACTCGTGGGACAGGGCTGAAGATCTCCCCAGAAGCTGATCTCCGGGCAGTTTTGTGGCTCTAAGTAGCGTACGCTCGTTTTACTGCGCAACCCTTGTAACGCTAACGACAGCAGGGGTGTTTGGGGGACGTTTGGTGCACATGTGTTGGTAAAAGGTATTTATTTCCCTTTCTGACCTCTCCTATTGCTTAAATGGCTTTAAACTGCTCTTAATTCTATGGTTCCTTAAAATCCCTGGGGAAGCAGGAGCCCTGGGCGATGGTGGGATGGGGATTTTCCCCGTTGCTCTCCGGGTGCGGAGGCTGGAGCAGTCAGGGACGTGCAACCATGAGAGCGTAAAGGTGTGCGGCTCCTCGTGCCTCCAGGTTTGGTTTTTTGGGTTTCTTTCCTTTCTCCCAGGTTTCTTCTTGCTGTGCAGGGATGGGCGCTGAAGTTGCTTTTAAATGCTATTTTAAACCTATTGCTGATTCATTGGAAGCTTTGAAATAGTTTTCGGGTGCCACTTTGTTTCTGTGGGCTCAAAGTGCTTTTCTAATTTCATTTATTTCGTGTGTGGCTTCAGAGGAGGAGGAGAGTCCCCGTTTCTGCCGTGGAGGAGGCGGCGTTGAGCTCCTCCGGCGGTGTGAAATCCTGGAGTTTAGCCTGAAATGCGTTTGGAAACGCACCTTCAAACCGAGTGTCTTCACAGAATTTTCTGATGAATGCCAGCGACTTCTTTTTTTGCTTCCCAGCCAGCCTGCAGAGTGTGTGTTGAGTTGCAAACCCTCCTCATCCCTCCTCTCGGGATGAAGCAGTGTCTGGTTTTGGGCACCTCAATCCAAGAGAGATCTCGAGGGGCTGGAGTGAGTGCAGGGGAGGGTGACGGAGCTGGGGAAGGGCCTGGAGAATAAATCTTGTGAAAAACAGTTGAAGGAGCTGCGGCTGTTGAGTGTGAAGAAGAGGAGGCTGAGGGGAGACCTCCTCACTCTCTGCAACTGCCTTAAAGGACGTTGTAAAGAGGTTGCTGCTTTGTCTCTTCTCATGGGAAATTAGTGATAGAATAAAAGGGAATGGCTTCAAACTGCAACAGGGCAGGGTTAGACTGGACATAAGGAAATATTTTTTGACAGGAGTAGTCAAACGTTGGCACAGGCTGCCCAGAGAGGGGGTTGGGTCCCCATTTCTGGAGGTGTTTAAGGGTTATTTAGATGTGGTGCTGGGGGAGATGGTTTAGGGGTGAGCTTTGCAGAGTAGGGTTCATGGTTGGACTCGATGATCTCAGGAGTCTTTTCCAACCTGAATTATTCTGTGATTTGCTAATCCTCTTCTGGAGTGTGGATTCCCCACAGCCCCGTGCTCCCACCGCACCGACAGTCTCTCCGCAACTGATTTTGGAGCAGAACGACCTTCTGACATGGAGCTTCCCCTCATTTCTCCCCAGGCAACCAGCGACCAAGAGCTCTCCCGCCTCGCGATGGCCACTCCGGACGTCAGCGTCCACATGGAGGAGGTGGTGGTGGTGACGACGCCTGGCGGTGCCGTGGATGGGAGCGGCGTGGAGGAGGTGAAGACGGTGCTGGTCACCACCAACCTGTCCCAGCACGGGTGAGTTGGGGTATGCTGAGGGGACGTGCTCCAAAACCTCGTGGCTGTAGATAGCTGAGCTGGGTGGTTTTAATCATCTGCGTCTTGTTCCTGCGTCGTTCGTCCCAGTGGGGACCGCAGCGATGCCCAGGTGATGTCTGGTTCCTCGTTAGGTCCTCGCTGGCACCCCTGGGACCATACCCAGGGCTCTGCAGCTCTGAGATTACAGAGCAAGCTCCGCTTCTTCTGTTCAGTCTGCGTTACCATTAAGCTGATGTTACCCAAAAGAAAAAGCAATGCAACAGTTTGGTTTGGCTGGATGGCGGAAAAACATCTTTAAAAAAACCGCCAAAACTAAACCAAAACATCTTTTCCGAGCGAGTGAGGGTGTTGAAATGGACAAAGGTCCAGTTGGAATGGAACACCAGTATCTAAACCGCTGGTTTTCTGCTCTTTATTTCATGGTTGCTTCAGTGAGCTGCGTGCCTCGGGGGCGAATGTCTATCTGCAGCGTGGTGAGTGTGAGCACCTGGGCTCCCCTTCCCAAGGGGGGCTTGGGGGCCACGGATTTTGGCCAAGCTCTGCCAGACCCTGCTGGCTGTAGAGGTGGCGGGATGCCCTTGAAACCACGTGGTGTTGAATGTGTTGGATGAGGTGGCAGCAAATCTGTGATTTTTTTAAGTGCTTTCCTCCCCGCCCTCGATTTCTGCTTTCTTGTTGGTGTTTCAGACCTGGTGCTGTTGTTTGTTCGGGTCTGGTCTGTCCAGCTGCGGGTCAGTCCAGTCTTTGCTTCCATGGCCGAAGTGCCTGGCTGGTACCTGTGTAGGGATGGGCTCCTGGCTTTATTTCTCTCCAGTTTTTCACGGGACAGTGCCCAGATGCCAGAGCCGCTGTAGTTCTTTGCTCTTTTGGTGGGCAGAAAATTCACATTTGTGCCTGGAGCTGGATTCAGACAAGTTTGTCTGATCCAGAAGTCCTTTGAAATAAGTGGGTAGCAAAGGGGTGGTTCTTGCTGGCACTGCATCGCCGGGAAGGACATGGATCTTGGGCTGATGGGGCAAAACCCTCCTAACTCTGGCTGCTGGGACTCTCCTCGCCGAGCAGGGGCTGGAGGTGGTCGGCAGCAGGAGCCACCCACGGGCTCTCTCAACCTTGGATAGTTGCCTCCCCAATGCTCCCCTTTTTCTGGTGCTCCTTTGGGTATGATTTTGCTATTTAAAAAAGAAATTCTACAAGCAATGATTAAAAGCTTAATTAGTTCATGTGTTTTTAACAGTGACTGGAAAAGGCAGAGGGAAATGGGAGAATAGTAAGAATCAGCAAGAAGCTTTTCCATGTGTGGCTGGAGGGGATCTGCAGTTGATGCTCTGACGAGGTGCTTGCATTCCTGATCATCCCCAGCGCAGTTTTCTGGTGGAGACTTTTTTTTTTCGCGACCTCTCAAGTTTCCAGGCGAGGCAGGAGCAAGGAGACACAAACCCGCTGCTTTACCAACAGGCACTTTCTTCTCTCCCTCCCGTCTGTTCTTCTCTCCCCTCCCTCTGCCATCTTCCCCTGGCTCCGTCATGGCAACCAGCGAAGGCAGGACCAGCGTGGTGGGATTCACCACTGGGGCTGGGAAGGTGTTTGAGTTTACTCCTGCATCTGCCTCGGTGTGTCCCTCTGGAATGCAATGGAGGAAGCGGTGTGGAGAAACTCACGTTTTTGGTAGTTTTCTCTTTCTCCTCCCAGTTATATCTCCATGGCAGACACAGACTGAAGTTGGTTGAATTTTTCCTACAAGCTGTTGAAGTCGGTTTGTTTGGTTTTCTCTGTGGGATGGGGTTTAAGATGAGGGGCTGGGTGATTCCTCCCAACCCGGTCGTGCCTTTTGGTCAGTTTTTGGAGCGGTGCGAGTGGATGGAGTTCTGGAGGAAGCTCCGTTTCAGGTGCTGACTTTTGTGCTGGAATGTTTCTTCTAGACGAATTGGTGGAGGTTCTGGGTCTGGAGCAGGCAGAGGCAGATAGGAGTCAGGACTGTGGGGTGCTGGGCTTTGCACACCAGCAGTGGCTGCTGCCTCTTGCAGCCCTGCTGAAAGGGTGTTACTGTCTTTTCTCCAAATGCACCTGGAGAAATGCAAGAACCAAGCAGCAAACTGATGAGGAAAAATCAGATTACACTTCTTCCCCTTCCCATGCTCACTCATGTGCTAATGCCTTGGCTCTGAGTTCACCTGTTTGAGCCCTTCTGCATTACCCGCCGCTGTTCCCTCCCATGGGCCTGGGCTGTGGATCCCTGTGAGCTGCCGAGACAGCAGGACGTCCTGTGGGGCCTTTTCTCCCACAGCCGGGGCTGCCTTCAGCTCTGGCTTCCCCGAGATCCTCACCCGGGGAGGCTGAGCTGCCGCCCACGCTGGTTCCCTTATCGGGGCGCCGCTCCCCACCAGGCACCTGCCCCACGGGCAGCCAGGGGAGGGATGCTTTGAAGCTGCGGTTTGAAGCTGTGTGTTAGGAGGTCAGGATGGAAAAACCAGTTGTTCTTGAATTTGCTTGTCCCCGTGGTACCGCGGGTGGGAAGTGTGGTCCTAGTGACTCACTAGCAACCCCTCTTTTAATTCACCCCTGATACCAAACCGGGGTGGATTCCAGGTTTCTCTTGTCCTTACAGTCTTAGAAGTTTATCTGCTGAAGTATATGAAAAGTTAGCTGGGTTTTTCCCCCCCTCCACCCCTGAAAATCAAGCTTGCTGCAGTAATTAGACATCCTCCATAACAAAACCCAACACTCATCTTAAAACCCCTGAGGAATGGTTGGTGCTGAGAGCCGGCAGCAAGGCGCAGGTCAGATCCGTGAGGGCACCAGTGTGGGACCCTCCCAGCTGAGGAGGTCCCAGATCACTGCCCTAAATATTTGTCCTTCTGAACACTCGCTGAAGCTCTGCACCTCAGGGAGAGCTGGAACGGGTGAGCGGCAAGGGTGCAGACACTGTGCAGGGCCAGTTGTGTGTCTCCATCGGCAAAGCACCAAGGGAAGGTGGAGATCTCCAGCGTGGGGAGGATGAAAGCAGTTGGATAACCAGCTCTTAATTAATATCATGGGTATATTGGGTTGTAAGAGGCTCAGAGATTGGATTGCAAGGGTCTGTAGCTCACCTCATCTCTGCTCAGGGTTCTGCTGTTAGGGTTTGTGTTTGTAACTCCTTCAGGTTCTGCTCCTGGGAGCATGCGAGGATTTGGTCCTTCCATCCCCCAGAGAGCGGCAGCCTGTTTCACACATGTTTTTCTTGAGGATATCTTCTCAGGCAAAGCTGCTGGAGGCTGGCAGAGACTTCTGAGCGAGGGGCTGTGCTGACAGCAGCCCTCCAACACCAGCTCCCCAGCACGGGCTGTGCTGGAGGCAGCTCCATGGGGCCGGGATGAAAAGGGAGGCGAGGCAGAGCTGGCCAGGCTGCTGGCAGCCGTCCTGCCTGCCAGGGGGCTCTTCATCTCCCTGTGGAAAAATTGGAGCTGAGCTTCTCCAAGCCAGAGCCGACTTCTAGCTCTTGTGGGAAAATGTAGTCGGAGTGACTTTGGAAGCCATGTCTCTGTGGGACGTCGGGTGTGGGGATGGCACATCCACGTGGCTTAACTCTGCCTCTCCGACTCTCTGCCAGCGGGGACCTAAATGAAGATACGTCGGCGGCTGCGCCTCCCGCCGCCTTTACAGCCTCCACGCACCTGAAGGAAGCGGTCCTAGGTAGGTTCAGCCCGTGCCGTAGCCCCTCGGTTGAGCCGTGCCAGCTCCTCCACCCCAGGGTCTGTCTGCTGCTGGGGGGAGCTGCTGGGGGGTACCAGGGAT